GAGGTGAAAGGGCCTCATAAGTGGAATAGCCTAGGGCCTCTTTTCATCTAAATCCGGCCCTGATGGCCAGTCATAATCACTAGTTTCACATCAGGGCAAACTGGCCGATGCTTCTTGTATGAAGATAATTTATATCTTTTGACACAGCAATTTTCTGATTCATCCTCTGTCCCTTTTTCAGCAAAATGCCCTGGCCATGCTGAGACCTACGTTATAACTTGGCATCAAGACAGAGATAGATCCTGAAAACCTATATATAAACTCTCTTCTTCTTTAGTTTTCATGCAGAATCAACTTTTGCTTTTCCAAACCGTCTTATGCAGGATCCACCCGCTCCAACTATTCCTCACCAGCTCCCAAAATTTTATCCAACCGAAAATGTCAAGGAGAAAAGCCACACTGCTGGCAATTAATTTTTCTTCCCCTTGTGCTGAGGTGGCTCAGTGGTTAAATGCAGCACTGCAGGCTACTTCAGCTGACTGTTAGCTGTAGTTCAGCGGTTCAAATCTCACCGGCTCAAGGTTGACTCAGCCTTCCATCCTTCTGAGGTGGGTGAAATGAGGACCCGGATTGTTGTTGGGGGCGATATGCTGACTCTGTAAACCCCTTAGAGAGGGCTGAAAGCTCTATGAAGCGGTATATAAGTCTAACTGCTATTGCTATTGTGCTACTCCCTTTTCTCTCTCCCTCTGGCTGTCTTAAAACGTCCTTAGTTTGACCCAATGTTATTTGTACTTCTGTTAAATCCAGTTTTCCCCATCTTCACTTTCTGTTATTTTTTCCTATTGGATGTTCCCTAGCCCTGACTTTCTCATGGTTCCTTTCACTTTGTGAACAATTTTCTAATTCAAACAGCTCATTAAATGGCTACATAAACTAAAACATACCTTAGCATAATATTGTACAAACACAGTCCATTTAGGCTTTGTTTCAAGAATTCTGAATGCTGAATTATTTAAAAGCTCAATAGGCCGGAGATAGTTTTGTTCTGCAACTGTTATGTCTGAGTAATGATAGAAGGGACTCAGCTTGCTCGGAAACTGATGAGTTTCCAAGGGCATTTAACTACCCCATTCGCTTAAAATTTGCCTCTATAATTTGCCTCTTCTAATATAAGAAGAAGCTTACAAAAAGAAGAAATGCAAAAAAATGCTTGTGTGTGTGTGTGTGTGTGTGTGTGTGTGTGTGTGTGTGTATCAATATGTGTGTG